CTATAACAGGACACTCCACACAGGTGCCATAATGTATGCACACTCATAAACACACACACACACACACACACACACACACACACACACAGAGAGAGAGAGAGAACTTGCTCTCCCTTCCACCACCAGAAACTAGAATCAAATTTCCTATCAGGTTCCCAAAGCCAGGACTGTCCCCATTCTACTGTCCCACCCTCAGGGCACTCGGCACTTGTAGGAGTTTCCAGGAGCCTTTGAAGATACGAAATGGAAACTCAACTGCAATCTCTTCCTACCCCTAGCCCTGCACACTCGGCGGGGGAGGGGGCACAAGGCGGAGTATGGGAAGGAAGAACCGGAAGTCAAAGGCAGGGTGTACCCCAACGGCATCCGCTGAAGCCTGTGCCTTATCGACCTAATAAGCCAGGCTTGGCCACTTGTCCAAATAAACCCATCAAAAGAGCCATACAAATTATGCAAAGCAGAAAATGTATTCAACGTGGCTACACTGGGTAGAGAGAAAAAGAGATACAGTGACCATCACTCACTCCCCATACAAGGTGAACAGATCAGTTTAAATCGTTGCTAAACGCAAGTTCCTTCTCTTTTGAATTCCAGGGCTTCAGCCTTTTTCTCTACCCAGCATAGATTCCTAAAGAAACTCCCATCTCTAGGGTGCCTTTGTCTGAATAGCAAAAGGATGTCCACAAATACCCTTTGGAATATCCTCATTTCTGCCAAGCAGACAGACCAGTCAAGACCACTATAGCAGCCACCTAGGCCTCCTTCACACAGTTCTTTTTTATTTTATTATTCATTTACTTACTTATTTACTTACTTGTTTGTTTGTTTGTTTGTTTGTTCTTGAGACAGGGTTTCTCTATGTAGCTTTGACTAAATTGGAACTCACTATGTAGGTCAGGCTGGTTTCAGACTCACAGAGCTCCACTTGCTTCTGCCTCCCGGGTACTTTTTAAAGAAGCAAAACAAGAGGACAATACTGTGTAGACTGGCTTAGTTGGTTTGTTTGTTTTTGGTTTTTTCCTCTTTTGATTTAATTTTTTTACTTATTGATGTGTAAGTGTGATTGTTTACGTGAATGCATGTCAAATGTGCACAGTGCCCAAGGAAGCCAGAAGAAAGCATTGGATCCTCCTCCTCCTCCTCCTCCTCCTTCTTTTTGTTGGTTTGTTGGTTTTTAGGTTGTTTGTTTGATTTGTTGTGTTTTTTTTTTTTTTTCGGGGTTTTTGAAAGGTTTCTCTGTGTCCAGAAGCTCACTCTGTAGACTAGGCTGACCTCAGACTCAGAGATTAGCTTGCCTCTGCCTCACAAGTGCTTGGACTAAAGGTGTACACCACCACTGGCTGGCCTTTTTCTGTTCCCTCTTTTCTTTCTTTCTTTCTTTCTTTCTTTCTTTCTTTCTTTCTTTCTTTCTTTCTTCCTTTCTTTCTTTTCAGTGTTTGTTCGTTTGTTTGTTTGTTTTAAATAGGGTCTCTTTACATAGCCCTGGGTGGCATCAGACTCACAGAGATCCCCCTGCCCCTGCCTCCTGAGTGCTATGATCAAATTTGTACACTATCCACTCAGCAATGACATGTTCCCTTCCAATTGTTATCCAGGCTCCTATAGCCTGAAGCCCTGCTTCGCTTCTTCATTTCCTATGCAACTTGTAGCTGTGTCTTGTTGGTCTCCCCTCAAAGATCCTTGTAACAGACAAAAGGTTTCTCCATCTTGGCTGACGCCATCTTTGGTTTAGACTGAAACTGATACACACACACACACACACACACACACACACACATATATATATATATATATATATATTTTTTTTTTTAACACCACCCCTCTCACCCTGAAAAGTCCCAACCCTGTTCTAGAAACTTGGATTTAAGTGCCCCAACTAGCCACATATTCTTGGTTCTTATTAGCCCACTTGCTTGCTTCCTCCTGCAAGCAGGAGATAGTTTTTCTGTATTGTCTTCTAAAACGCTCTTTGATCACCTCCCCTTGAAGGGGGAGCAGCCTTACCAGGCCACAGAAGATGACAATGCAACCACTACTGATGAGATCTGATAGACTAAGATCAGAAGGAAGGAGAGGAGGACCTCCCCTATCAGTGGACTTGGGGAGGAGCATGCATGAAGAAGGGGGTGGGGGGGTGAGATCGGGAGGGGAGGAGGGAGGGGCTTATGGGGAGAATACAAAGTGAATAAAGTGTAATTAACAAAAATTTAAAAAAATCTTTAAAAAAAATGCATTCAGGGCTGCTCTGTGAGAAGTGTTTCTCTCCATGCAGTCACAAGCCAGCTTAATACAGACTCTCAAGTCAAACTTTAGTCGTCCTGAGTGGTCTTTGGGTCTCTACCCAAAAAGACTCCCGAGTTCTCCCTGTCCTTCTCCCACACTGTCACTGGTTTGTCCATAGCCTCCACATTTCTGCTACAGACTCCTAACAGGATCCCAGGACCTGTCTGTGAGCTCACTAACAGCTCGAGGGAGCCACCTAGCTTCATCACATATGCTTGAGGCTCAGCCAGGGCTGCGCACAGGCTATGGTGTAAAGTTTAGGGAAGCACTCGATGCCCTTCAAAGCTTGGCCTGCTGGCCAAAGCTGTATCATGTCTCTCTCATCCTTGCTTATGCCCTCCTGAAAGATTTCTTCCATCTCCCCTCATCCAGCCGCAGTCCCACACAGTAAATCCTTCAGCACAGTTCTGAACCCGAGAGAGTACTTTTGGCATATCAGCTGGAATCACTTCTATAGGCAAGAGTTCAGATATGGTAGGAAAGCATCCTCTCTCCTGACTCCCAGATCCATCTCTGTGGGCTTGAGCCCCTCTACACCCCCCCATTACCCACCTGAGAAACCTCCAACGAGCCAAAGGGCCTCTGTTGTAACTCTGGGAGTGTGTCTGAGATATCCCAGAGAGGAAGAGGCTCCACGAGGTCTTCTAGTTCCAGTCATCCCTGGTACCCATTCCATTTCTGACATTCTCACCCCATCCAGATGCCTCCCTCCAGTCCCAACCTGGTCCGAGCCCTAGCTAGACTTTCCTTACCTCCAACCCTCGCCAGGTCTCCAAGTCTCCTTCTCCCACGCCCAGGCTCCCCGTGTCTCGATTTTTTTTCCTATTATTGATAGCTACCCTTCTCTGACCTTACCTAATGCCAAGCTGTCATCCCAGCCCTGTACTGACCGCAAACTTACTCCATCCAACTTTAGTCCCTGTTTCCTGGCACAGCCTGGACTGCAATCCCATCTGGGAGCTCAGCCTCAGGTTATCCCGGCCCCTCCCCATCCCCACATGGGCCAGTACCTTCTCCTTATGCTTTAAGCTAGCAGGAGCTTCTGTTTCTGCCCGTTGGCAATCAAGGAGCCCAGATGTCTTCAGCACTCCCTGCAACACTTCCACACAACTTAAAAAAAAAAAAAAAAGTAATGAAGACGACTACAACAGACAACATGGAAGAGAAGGGAGAAAGGAAGGCAGAAACTGGCTAAGTTTAGGAGCCTTTTTAGTACCATCGGTTTATTCTCTAGGCATTATGTCCAACGCCAGGATGGAAAGTGGACTAAACAGATAGGTTCCTGCTTTTGTTCAGAGAAAACAGATGAGTAACCACAATTCCTTTTGAAATTTTTTTAGATTTTTTTTATGTGTGTGAATGCTTTGCCTGCACATATGTCTACACATCACATGCATGTCTAATGGCCCCAGAAGTCAGAAGAGGTCATTGGATCCCCTGGAACCTGAGTTACAGATGATTGTGAGCCACCATACAGGAGCTGGGAATCAAAGCTGTGTCCTCTGAGAGAGCAGCCAGTGCTCTCAACCGCTGACCTTCTCTCAGGCCCCAAACACAATTTCTTGAAGTCATTGGGGGGTGAGGAAGTAACTTAAAGGAGATGAGCCAGGTCCCCCCAGGAGACAATGGTTATACGGAGAGGTAAAGCTGACTCACACATTTTCACATATGAGTGACAAAGAGAGCCTCCTGCCTGTGAGAGGTGATGATGAGTGTGAGGCTGTGTTCTAGCAGGGGTTAAAGCCACTAGCCCACAGCAAGTTGGTAAGGAGGGCTACCCTCATTTTACTGCGGGAACCACCAGCTCCTCCACACACGTGTTTTGCTCTATGGCACACCCAAGATACTTTCACATGGACAAACATGGGACAGAAATTTTTACTGGAAGCGGCTGCCTGTCCTGCTGATCGACAGCGATATTTGGGTGTATAAAGTTGCTGCTGCTCCCTGCCAAACTGGAAGTGCCAAGAGGGCAAAAGTCACAGCTGCTAGTCTTGTTCCATCTTTGGATCAGCTGGTACTCAACGCACACATCACCCCCTGTGACACTGGTCACAGGGTAAAGGGTAGCCTCGTGCACTAAGACTGGCTTCCCAAATGCCTTTTGTCCACTCATGGCACCTAAAGGGAAGAAGTTCTTTGGCTCCATCACAAGGCCGCCTGGTGGCATGGTGCTTCGGGAGCACCTGACTGATGTCCTCAGAAGGCATTGCAACATTCCTCAAGATGGGAAAACAATCTCGTGAGCTCAAATCACAGGACAAAGAGCTCCTGGACAGCCTGCTGGAATGTGCTGAACAGTCAAGGCGGTGCTCCAAGGAGAGAGTCCCGGCCCGTGGAAGGGTAAAGTCGATGCAAGCTCCAGTTCTTTGTCCGAAAGGCGGGGTCAGGCTACAGGTGTGACCATGATGATGGCCCAGATGACAAGTCAAAGATCATGGAAGTATAAAGGCAGACCTTGGAAGGCTAACAGCAGCTCCTCAGAAAGCACGTGTGGACCCTAGAGACAGCAGTTAGTCACTAACTTCTGATTCTGTCACCTCCCTCCCCAAACCAAGTAGTATCTGTCCAAAGTCATACCAAACAGCACACACACACACATACACACACCACCACCACACACCACACACACATACACACCACACCACACCAAGCACACTGGTATAATATTCTTTCCTTTGAAGGGGCGATATTACCCCTTAGTAATTTTCAGAGGTTTAACAGCTAGTGAGAGATGTGTGAAAGGTAGCACGACGGCGTGTCAAAAACTCCTTGCGAACCAGGCCACAGCTAACGAGGATCCTGAGTAATTCGTGGCGAAAATTTTGCCCAACAAAGGCATAGAGGATGGGGTTGAGACAACTGTGAGAAAAGCCCAGGATCTCGGTGACATAGAGGGCCTGGTCAATGTCGCTGCGGCGCTTGCAGGTGTCTTCAATCAAGCCGGCTCCTAAGAGAGTGTCCGAGAGCAGGGCCAGGTTGTATGGCAGAGAGCAGAGCAAGAAGACAAGCACAACCGCAAAGATGACCCACATAGCCCTGTGCTTCTGCCCCGTGCGGGCCTTACAGAGCATGCGCAGCGTGAACCCGTAGCAGACCAGCATGACCAGCAGAGGCAGGAGGAAACCAAATACGTGGGACAAGCCGCGCAACATTATCCGAAAACTTGTCGTGGCTTCACCCAGGACCTCATAGCAAACTGTTTCAGAATTTTGCGGTTTGTATTCCTGGCGGAAGATAGAAAAGGGCAGAGAAAGAATCAAAGATAGAGCCCAAACGCCCAGACATACAAACTTAACCAAGTGGCGCTTTTGGGCCAGTGTGCTGGTAGCATGGACGATGGCCAGGTATCGGTCCACGCTGATGCAGGCCAGTAGCAGGATACCACTGAAGAAGTTGGCTTCCTTCAGGAGTGAGACCATCTTACACAGGGGTGTGCCAAAAATCCAGCCCTTCAACTTGGAGACAGCCCAGAAGGGCAGGGTCGATGAAAAGAGAAGGTCGGCAATGGCTAGGTTCAGCATGTAGACATCGGTGACAGAGCAGCTTCTTCGCCTGGATAAGATGACCAGCATCACAAGCGGGTTTCCCAGCAAGCTCAGCAGGGTCACCAGTCCATAAAAGATGACTAAAGCCTGCCTGTTGGTTATTGCAAATCTCTCGCAGGGTCTGGAATCCTCTCCAATGGGTGGCATTCCGGTGGTGTTTCCAAACTCTTTCTCAAAGTAATCCCACGTCATATTTTCTGGAACACCCCAGACAAAATATTCAGCCTTGGCCATGGTTTAATCTAGGTTGAAAGGTTAGAAGGAGAGAAGTATGGTTTAGTAACCAAATTCAAGTGTCATGGATGTTGTGGGATGGTATTGGCTTCTCTGTTCACATCACCCCGTTTGCCTTCAACTTGAACTTCTGGAGAAGTTCGCTTCCTAATGCTGTCAAAGTCCTTGTAGACTCAGTCTGAGTAAGGGATGAAATAAAACCCGTGGAAGGTACCTTTGCCTTCAGTTGACTCTACAAGCCTCAACTCTGTCCTGCTCTGCCTGGTCTACTTTTAACCATCTTTGTCCTCAGCCACCCCCTGCATTCAGAAGCAGCCACGGGGTTGCTCTTGTATACTAGAGAAGAGGCAGCATGCAGCAGCACTGGAGGAGATCAGGTGTATCGGCGTGTCCCTTCCTACATGATTTCTCATATGTGTCCCCTAGTTGTTGTCTGCCCTTTTTAAAAGGGCATTTCTTTATGTGTTTGAGCATGTGTACTTGTCTGTATGTCTGTACACAGAGGCCAGAAGACTTCAGATCTCTTGGAACCGGTGCTACGGAGAGTTGTGAGCTGGCCAAAGTGTGTGCTGGGAACCAAACACTCAAGAGCAATCCCATGTTCTTAACCACTGAACTATCTCCCCAGCCCTTGTTTGTCTTTCTTTAAATCTACCTGGTGAAAGAAGTGATAGCAACAAATTACATTAAACTATACACTGTGCCTTGACTTGTGATGAGATTATGTCTAGCTTTCGTAGTTGTAAACCTCAAGTCAAAAGTACATATAGGGGGTCATTGAGGTGATCCAGTGAATAAAGGCATGTGCTGCCAAGCCTAAAAACTTGATCCCCAGAACCCACAAGGTAGAAAGAAAGACCCGTCTCCTACAGGTTTTCCTCTGGCCTCCACACCCAAGCTCACACATACCCTAAATGTGAAAAAGAAAAAAAAATTAAATACATTTAAGGGTTGGTGAGATAACCCAGCAGATAAAAGAGTTTGCCATACCAGCCTGTCACCTTGAGTTTGCTCTCAAAACCCATGATAGAAGAAGGGAACCAACTCCCTAAAATTGACCTTTGACCTGTATCCAAGTCCAGGGCTCTCCAATCCCGAAGTATTTAGAAGTCAACCAGGTTATACGTGAGCATACTAGCATACTGTTACTTAATGCCCACTCTTTCCACAGTGACCTTGACTGGGACCTTCAATCCCTACAGATTTCCATTTATCAACTGCAAATTGTGAGGAGACAAAGGCGCTCTCCCAGGCTTCCAGGCTTTGGACTCTATGGCAGGTGCATTCACATCCCCACCCGTCGGGATGTTCTCTCCCTGCCAGTGTTGGCATCTTCACAGAAGACAAAGGCTTAGAGGGGAGCAATCAACACTGAACTGAGGAACTGTCCACCTCAGCCACATAACAGGAGAGGAATAAAAGCAAAGGATGAGGAGGCTGCAACCACAGCGACCTAGGAAATGAGAGTTGAGAACTCACCTACGGTGAGGAAACCAGAATCCATTTAGCAGAAGTCCCTAAATTCCACAGAAACCAGTGTATTTTCTAAGATAAAACTGAACCAAGCCTTCTGCCCCAACAAGTATGCTGACACACAGGGGTGGCTTCCTACCTGAGGCGCCAGCTGGGTGTGTTCTGCGTGAGCGAGAGCCTGCAGCCCAGAGACTGGAATGACCAAACAGTTGAAGGAACTAGATAAATAAGGGAAAAAGAGAGAAGCCACACTAGACAAGACCTCCCCTCAGAGCCCCACCCATGTCTGCATCTGGGTGCAGATTAGGTCATGCGACCCGGCATCATCAGGGGTTCTGTGGGTCCCACAGAGAGAGCAGAGAAAAGCTGTTCCCTAAATTCCCTTCTCTGTAGGTGATCATTTTCATCATCTTCAGTTTCTTGAATTTACCTGCACATGCTATCCCCAAGTTTTCTAATAGATGATCTTGAAAACCCAATTTCCCTGAGGCGAATAAATTGACTTTCTACAACAAAAGTTTCAGAAGTCCCCGATGGGAAAGACTTAGGAAGTCTATAAGGAGAACTTTGGGGAAAGTTTGTGGGAGAGAGTGGGATGCCTACATTGAAGCCATGCTGGGACAGCAAGCAGACATTTGCGTAGGTGCTGGACTAGAACCCAGTGCCCAGTGCATGCTGGGACAAGTACCCTACCGGTGAGCTACATCTGCAGCCCAACAAATATTTTCTGATTTTGATTTGCTGTGTTGTGTTCTGTTTTGAGACAGTGTCTCTCATAGCCCATGCTGGCCTTGAACTCTAGGTAGCTGATGACCATAAGCCTTCATTTCTCTCCCAAATGTTGGGAATACAGGTGTGCACCATAAGGTGTATAGCTATAAGCACACCATTTTCACTTATGTTATAGGCATCTTTAGGGTCATGTGGTAGAGATTAGGAAGGGGAAAAAATCCCTTTTACACTCCCTTTTACACACCATTTCCAATCATCGCTTGGTTGGATTAGCGCTAAGGTTTGGGGCATGACCACTCCCTCCCTGGAGTCTATCAGAAGACCATTAGGACTGGGAAATCTAACGAAGGATCAGCTGAGGGTGATGTAATTGCTGTTCCCTATTTGGTTCTGAAGGACTGCTCCTTTGGGAAGCTGCCTGGGAAGCCCCTGAGCAGTCCACAGCTGACCCCTGACTTCATTTCTTGAACTCAGTGTCCTGGTTAGTTTTAACTATAAAGTTCACACAGTCTAGAGTCATCTAAGGAGGGAATCTCACCTGAGAGATTTCCCATATCCGACTGGTTTGTGAGCGTATCTGTGGGAGTTTGTCTTGATCTCTCATTGATGTAGGCGGGCCCAGCCCACTGTGGGGGCCACTATCCCTAAGCAGGTGGTCCCCGTCTGTATTAAGAAAACCAGATAGGGATGGAGAAATGGCTCCATGGTTAAGAACACTAGCTGATCTTCTAGGGGACTCAGGGTTGATCCCAGCTCCCATCTGGTGCCTCCAAATGGTCTGTGGCTCTAATCTCAGGGGAATCTGTTACCCTCTTCTAGCCTCTGAGGGCACTGCTCAGACATTTGTGCAGGCGCAAAACCCATATACACAAAATTGCCTTTTCTATGTGCCAAGATGAACCTTTACTGAAAGCAGTTTACAAAGCACTGCACTTAAAAGGTAATGTTTCCATGCTTGTTTTCTTTTCTAATTTTATGTTATAGCACATAACATAAAATTTATGTTATAGCATAGCAAGTAAGTTATGCTCTATTATCTTATGAACATCTCAATGCTGTAGTTTTTCTTTTCCAAATAGAAATAAAACCTTTGGTTTCCACAAATTAAAAAAAAAAAATGTTTTTTACTGAAAGCTAGGTAAGCAAGACCTGCAAGTAAGCAGTGTTGCTTTGTGGTTTCTGCCTCAAACTCCTGCTTGAGAGCCTGCCCCGAATTCCCTCAGTATTGGGCTGTGACCTGTAAGGCAAAATAAATCCTTTCTTCTCCTGAGATGCTTTGAGTCTCAGTGTTTTATCACAGCCACGGAACTGAAGCCAGAACACTGTTAAACCTTTCTCCGTGATAACATGCGCTCCGCTGTGCTGCAGTGACGTGTTTACACGGGAGGCTCCTGCTTTGTGCTACATGCGGCTAAAGAGCGAAGATCCCCTCTCCAATTCATCTTTGGATCTGTCCTCTGCAGGAAAGCATAGCAAGTGATCGCCAAGAGCTGTGAACAAAATGGCGCTTCTCATGTGACTCGAGGAACACACAGCACCACCATAAAGGGGGCTAAGACACGCAGCCACATACTCACACCTAAGGTGTGTCTGAGAGCTTCACTTCCATGCACCTGGGCTGGCCTTCCTGGCTGCCACAGCTCCTGCCCAGTGTCTGTGCTGTCAGGGTCAATCTGTGCAATCCTGCCCCTCCCACAAATGCCAACTTTTCCTACCACTGGTGCCTACTATTGTGACATGGGCAAATATGGGTCCTCCTCCAGGGTTCTATTTGCATTTATAAATAGCGGCCAGAGGGCTAGAACTCTAGCGCATTTGGTGCAGTGTTGGCCTAACAGTTAGGAAGGCCTGGGTCCAATACCCCGCAGTGCATAAAACTTGGCACAGGGTGGGAGTTCGGTGGCTGGGAGTGTGACTCAGCAGGTCAGAGCACTTGCTGCCTAAACATGAGAACCTGAGTTCAAATCCTCAGCTCCCGTGTAAAGCCAGGTGCAGCCAAGTGCACCCCTCTAATCCTGGCACTGGGGTGTGGGTTGCAGAAACAAAAAGATCAGGGTTGGGGCTTGATGGCTTCCAGCCTAGCTCCAGGCTCAGTGAGAGACCCTGCCCTTCAGGGGAGTACAGCACAGAATGATAGAGCAGGACACGCAACGTCCTCTGATGCCTTCCTGCCCTTCGGCCTCTATATCTTCCTATGTGTGTACACACCAAACACATATGTACATATACCACACACACATACACCCCATCCCACACATAAACTCAAAATCTGGATGTAGCGGTACATCCCTAATCTCAAAGCACCCTCAACTACAGAATGAAATCAAGGCCAGCCTGGGATACATGATACCCTGTCTCAGAAAAAAAAAAAAAAAAAAAAAGGTTGCAGGAACTACAAGGAGACATTAGCCCCTGATGTTGGACTGTTGGGCTCTGACGCCTTGACTAGGAAGGACTTGGAATGGGGTAGTCCCAGAAGGGAAGGTGCATTCCCACAAGTTGTCTAAAAAGGAGGCAGCTTCCAGGGCAGAAAACACTGACTGAGGACCCAAGAGGAAACTGTGAGAGCTAGACTGTGAAAAACCTCAAGAAAGTACCCCTCCCTTAGAGATCTTCCTACTCTTGGAGTTCTTTTTCTCTGTAATAAATTGACATTCTCTCTGAGAACACGTGGAACTGCTAGGAAGAGGGAATCTTTCGGCATGTGGGGGCAGCAATCAAGAGACAGTGAGGCGCCTGCGAGGAAAGCCCGGGGAGAGAAGAGGGTCGAGTCCTGTCTAAGACTCGGTTTTAAA